TTAGGATTAAGTGCCCCGTCCCGAAACGACGGACAAAAACGCGATGAGAAATGTCCTCGATAACGATGAGCTATCGGTTGTAATACCAATGTCGCGACGCTTTCTCGTTTCACGCGAAACGTAGTCTAACAAATAAAACTCTGTTTCAATCCTGTAAACGTTATAATCTGTGTAACAACCGCGAACGTAATATCGACAATTTCATGTTCGTTCGACGAACATGAAAGATTTAAACTTTCAGTAGGTGCCGCCAGTTTTATCTTCATCGTCTAAACTTCTAAACAACTCATACTTCGTGAAGTGAGATCTCAATCAGCCGTTTTTAAAAATTAATCTTCTAATCTGTGTGTCTGTAGTCATTAGTTATCACGCAGATTTATGTAAAGCTAGCATATTACCAACCTTAAACGCTATGTCCAAAGTTCGCATTCAGTCCGGTCAGTTCGCCACTCAAAGTGGCTTTGTGAGAACAAAGGATTAGGACTGTGTGCACAGCTATTACGGTTACAAGTCCCAAAGCTAATGAAAACGGGTTGTAATTAGTCCAGCAACAATTATATATTTTACGTAAAATAACCTTCCTCACTCGCCTATAGTTTCTCGACTATGAATTTCTAAATAATTTTATATTTAAGGAAAACAATACAGCCAACCATTACTACCTTGCTTTATTAGGAAAGATCGCAATATAACTCGAGACCATAATTCTATTTTACAATTAATTATAATGTACAAATCATCTATAGAATATAAACTAACTAATGGAAAGGAACAGAAAAAACAAACAACTGCCAATAGAACTGCCTCATAGAACACTGGCGGTAAAAATCAAGATTTCCTGAAAATGATGTCGTTACTCAAAGATTTTATTCTCTGGCATAATTCAAGATGACCGAATAAAAAACCGTGCTAGAATGACCAGCAGGTTCGGTGGACTGGCGCATCTCGCGCTTACGTTTCTTCCAGTAGAATAGAAGAGTGGGTGGAGAATAGACACAGTGGAGGTAGTAAGTGGGCTAGTAAGTCTCGCGATAACAGTTATAAATGACCCTCTCGAAGCACGGCGCCGTACCACCCAACCCTCAGCTATGCGCCAGACACTGGCTGCTCCGTAATCTAACACATGCCCGGACAATATAGTCGTAAAAGGTACTAAACAAACATACGCTAAGTGGCCTGGTCGCCGCGTGTGCGCAACTATACCACGGCTGTTTACGTATCCTTGATCGATAATCGTATATACGTGGGATATTGTGCGGTCGCAAGTCGATCCTTCCTAGGAGAGCTGTTACACTACGGATGCTACTTTTGTGAAGAACATATATCTCCGTTCCAAGCGTAATTTTCGCTGCAACATGCCCGGAGTACTTTACACTTCCGCAGTTACTCCTTTGACATAATTACGATGTTTTCTAGACACGCGACCATTGTCTGAAACATGAACGTGGTTTTGTACTGTGATCGATGCTCTAGGAAAGGTTAGAGGATTTTTCTACTTTACGAGATGCTAAATTGACAGAGTTGAGGATTCAATTCAATTCTATGAGCATCGTTATAGATTTTTATAATAAAACTTTAATCCACAATGGTCCTACTCTTTTACGAGTGCTGCGTGGAGTGATGTCGATGTTCTACCCTTTCTTGCCTATCGATTGTTACGCTTCGCTTTTAATTAACCTCTTACGAGCATATAGCGTTAAGTAGGTTGTCTTTGAGTGTTCAATTCCTTTCCTGGCAGTACCTATTGATCGTATTTGATGAATAATATACAAACTGTTAAGTATATATAAATAATATTCTCTTTTTTATAAATTTGCAAAAGCAAGAAAGGTTAGATGATGAATATTATATATTATAACAAAATGTTCAAACATCTACGATTAATTTAATTATATAAAACAGCTTACAAGTAAACCAATGAAAAATACTTCCTACAAAGTTGCATTTGGTAAACATTGCGTCTGATAAAAGATTGTACGTATTGAGAAAAATGCACGTCAAAGTGGCTACGAAACATATAAAAAATCATGATACAGTACACATCATTTTACCGTAGAAGAAAGGATGTATCGAATATATTGAATTCTTAGATACCATAAAAAATATCTCTATCGTAATTATACTAATAAAAAATTTGTATAAAATACCATTTCATAATGATGTTCTGTGAATAGTATTCCAAAAGAATTGCAAGGGTGCATTTGGCTTCTACTGCATTATAGTACAGAGTGCGCTACCTGACGAACAAGATTCATACAATGTCGGTAATTCATTTTTAAGAAATCTGAATTAAAACGTTCAAACAAATAATATTTGCTACCTAATTAAAATACAATAGTAAAAAACAGCTAACAATTCATTTTAGTTACCTTTATGAACGCATTGAAACGAATACAACATAAATCCACTGAAACAAAACAAAACGAAAACAAATCTTAAGACGAAAAATGCTTGTACGTGATTTGGTACAGACTGAAGGCGCCAACCTGTGGACGATTTGAAAAAGATGTGCGCGCATCGTTAATGCGCATGCGCTGAGATGTGAATTTGTAACAGACGAAATACATTGAAGTGCAAACTGGAGCAAGTGTCATGGCGCTAACTTCGGATATCGATTTTGGTCCAGTGGGATGCAGAACGCTCATTTTCTACTGATAAGGTTTTCCACTTGTCAGCTGGAAGAAAAATATCTAATATGATATCGATTCTTTTTACATTTAATTAGGTTAACTTAAAAATTATTGTATGTGTGTGCATAGGTGAAAGTGTTTCTACTGGGAGTGGTCACTGCCATCTCAATCTTACACAAATTTGTAAATAGTTACATTTAAAATGCGAATATTGACGTTTAGTATTCTTCTTAATGCCCTTCACATTATATTCGGTAAGTGTTTCACCTTTTTACATTGTAAGTGATTGAGAGTCATTTAAATTTTTTAAGAATTATATCGTAATGTATGTTTCATGTTGTCGTGTGATTTGAATGCGATGAACTCGATTGTTCTTACATAAAGAGTAGAAATTATGACTAAAAAGATTTGTATTTCTTCTAGGTGCTGTTGGGTTAAAAATTTACGAGGCAAACCCTGACACAAAAAGACTTTATGATGACTTGTTGTCGAATTATAATAGACTTATACGCCCTGTGAAGAACAACACCGAAACCTTAACAGTAAAGCTTGGTTTAAAGCTCTCGCAGCTAATTGAGATGGTATAAAGTCATATTTTGTGATTTTGGTTGTTTTTTATTCAATAAAGGTATTGTTAATATTTTTTTTAATTTACAGAATTTAAAAAATCAGGTGATGACTACCAACGTCTGGGTGGAACAGGTAAGAGCTGCTGAAGAAATATACCTATCTTTATAAACATATTTTATTCACTGTCGATATTATGCATTTTAGAAATGGATCGACTATAAACTACGATGGGATCCAGAAGAATACGGTGGCGTAGAAATGCTATACGTGCCTTCCGAAAATATTTGGCTACCAGATATTGTCCTATATAATAAGTAAGTTTTGATGTATGTTACAACTTATTAGCAAGTATTGAATTTGATAATCATGAAAAGACATCAATTAAATATAATTTCATAGTGCCGATGGCAATTACGAAGTAACGCTTATGACAAAGGCTACATTAAAGTATACCGGTGAAGTATCTTGGAAACCGCCTGCGATTTACAAATCATCCTGTGAGATTAACGTCGAATATTTCCCATTTGACGAACAATCGTGTATTATGAAATTCGGCTCATGGACGTACAATGGCGCTCAGGTTATAATTCAAAAATATCGTTAATCATAAATAATTTTTTTAATACAAATCAAATAGAAATAAATTAATTTGAAAATACAAATAATTGACGTCAATGTTATTTACCAAAAATACTTTGTAAAAACTTTTACTGATAGGTGGATCTAAAACATATGAAACAAGAAAGTGGTAGCAATTTGGTTGCAATAGGAATAGATTTAAGCGACTTCTACTTATCAGTTGAATGGGACATTTTAGAAGTACCAGCATCCAGAAACGAAGAATATTATCCATGTTGCACAGAACCTTATTCTGGTGAGTAAATAAATATATTTGACATCTATATTAACATACAATTTATACAATGATACGAAATGTAAGTGCATTTTAATATAATTTATACAGATATTACATTTAATATTACGATGCGAAGAAAGACATTATTCTACACAGTCAACTTAATAATTCCTTGCGTGGGTATTACGTTCCTTACGGTACTTGTCTTTTATCTACCAAGTGATTCAGGTGAAAAAGTAAGCATTAAAGAGAATAATAAATAAACGAAAAGGTATTTATGCTGTAAAAAATTGAATTTTTATAGGTATCGTTGTGTTCTTCCATTCTCCTCTCGTTGACGGTGTTCTTTTTACTATTAGCCGAAATTATTCCACCAACGTCACTAGCTATACCACTTTTAGGAAAATATTTGCTATTTACCATGATTTTAGTCACTTTGTCGATATGGATTACCGTATGCGTTTTAAATGTTCATTTTCGGTAAACTAAATTCCATTGTAATAATTCTAGATTAAACACTAATTATAGTATCCTATTTATAAATTACCTAAAGTTACGTATAAATTTCTTATATAGGTCTCCATCTACACACAACATGTCACCCTGGGTTAGACGAGTATTTTTAAATTGGATGCCGCGACTTTTAATGATGCGTCGGACACCGTATTCAACTCCAGAATATGATGATACGTACATGGATAGTGGATATACTAATGAAATAGATTTTAGGTAATTATACTACTGTTTATCGAATCCTGAAATAGAAAACTTTTCAGGAGTATACATTACAGTTTTCCTGATAGTGTTAGTGATTACCCATTGGAATTGAAAGGAAGTCCAGATGGATTCGAAAGTGTCACCTCGCAGTATAAAAATATACGAGAAGACGATGCCCGGCATATACCGCATGCATCAGGTAAATATTTAAATTACTCTACAATATATAATATAATTGATACAAAATTTTATTAATCAAATGTATTGTGACAGTGCATTCTATGACACATATAAAGAATTACATGATAGCGATTGAAATAAATAAACGTGTATTGGAATTAACAGTAACCCTATAATTCATGGATGTATATGGCGCGGCACGTTATATTACAATTAATGTCATGTAATAGTTTCTGAAATGTACATTAACAATGAGATACTGTTGCAGTCACTGATAGTGAAAATACGATGCCACGACATTTGTCTCCCGATGTCATATCAGCTTTAAAGGGTGTGCGTTTTATTGCTCAACATATAAAAAATGCAGATAAGGATAATGAAGTAAGTTGATCAATAATTCAACAATTCATTGTTTGAATATTCATGTTTTACTTTTGATACTTTTCTTGATAATTTAAGGCTTCAATTCTAAAAATTCTTTTTTAAAAATAGTATATATATATATATAACTTCTCGAAATAATATATGATACATTTTCCCTCATATATTTTTTAATATTTTCAGGTTATAGAAGATTGGAAATTCGTAGCTATGGTTTTAGATAGACTTTTTCTTTGGGTTTTTACATTGGCATGTACTGGTGGAACACTTGGCATAATATTTCAAGCACCAAGTTTATATGATACAAGAGAACCTGTGGACCAACAACTTTCTGGAATATCGTTTCGCAATTATATGTATCCAAATGTAAATGCGCCTATGCAAGACGAATAAACTTTGAGATTCGTGGAACATATGACTTACGTATAAAAACCATAATACAAAAGTATTAAATTATTAATATTCTATTTATATGAATTTTATCTATTTTATTCCTTATAACTTTAGATCGAATTTCACAAACAGAAAGTCTATAGCAAATATAGTCTAAGCAGTTTTATTAACCCTGATCAACTAAGAAACTTAATAAAGAAACAATTTCTAGAGGACTCAAATTTAATTACATTAATAACGCTAGTAATATAATTAACATATTTATATTAATATAAATATTTGCACCTTTTATTTTCCTCTTTCATTTACATGTCAAGGTTAATAAGAGGCTTACACTACAAAATAAAAATAGTTTTATTATTTTGGATGAAATTCCACAATGATGTTTTCGATAATGAAAAACTATACTAAGGTATCTTATTAGTTAGATTGAGTTTGATTTTCGAGACGTTAATTTACATTTTTTTCTTTCATCAATTAAAATAATATGCAATCACTCCCTCTCTCTCTCTCTCTCTCTCTCACTCTCTCTCTCTCTCCCCCTATATATATATATATATATATTGATTATACAAAGGAATGCTAAGTTGTTATAGTTAAAAAGAAATATTATTTTGCTCCTTTCTTTTTCAGTTTTAAGTACCAAAAGTAAAAATGTCATGAATTCACTTATACTTAACTTTATGTAGTAACTTTTTTTTTTAAATGATCACAGAACTAACAAAATTTTGGTTTTTGTCCTATATAAAATTTGGCAATTTAATAGTAGCAATAGATATAAAATATTCTACTCTAAATCAATTATCATCAATTCTGGTGATTCACTTGTACTGCTAATGGAGCTAGTTTGTGACTTCTTTGGCGAAGAAGTACCACTAGCTATCTTTTTTGTACTTTGTGTTGGTGTGGTACGTTCATCATCATCATCACTGTCTGATATTAGATCAATAATAACAGCTCGTTTCTTTTCCTTTGGAGGTGTAAGATTGCTTTCATCTAAACAGTGATATGATTACCCATTTATATGTAAACACCCATAAACATAAAAACATTTATTTTTAAATATGTCATATCTTTACACATATTAGAATGAAATAAAATCTTACCGAGGTCGACTGTATCCACATCGATTTTACGATCTTGCGAATTTGTAACAACTTTTGTTTCACTCTTCTCCTTATCCTTTTCTTTCTTTAGAACCAAATTTTCCCATGACCCATCTTGCAATAATTGAATTTCATTTACATCTGGCAATAGTTTCTTAGAGTTCAACACTTCTTGAAAGTAGCCATCGATAACGAGATTATCATATAACGCTGGCTTATCACAAACTGGGCAATTCCATGTCGGTTTTCTTTCATTCATTTGAAGGAATAGGGATGCATCAAAACATTGTAAATGTGAACATGTCGATGCACGACATGGTGTACACATTCGCATCTTGCCTAACGGACAAGCTAACGATACTCTAAGCGATGTTGTCGCTATTTCACTATCCGCATCTTCGTTAAGTTTCTCCTTAACTAAAAAGATCATTATTTCAATAGCATTCATTTTCAACAATACCAAATAGTTCTAATTACATAACTACTTACTTAAACCTCTTGTATAATCCGAATGTCGAACTCCCCTACTTTTTAACCTTGATAATAATTCAGCACTTGAAAGCTTTCGAACTAAATATATCGCAATTGCGTATCGTCTGCCGTAGTCTGCCGACCACGTCACGTGAATTTGATTCGCTACAGTAGGAGATAATTTAACTAAAGGACTAATATTGACAGGCCGTGGCGGCCTCTTTGGTTCTACTCCTGGCTTATTAGTAGGTATTGGATTCTGAAATAAAAAATAAAACATTTCATTTGTGAAAGTAAAACATTTTACTATACTTTCAATGTAGGGTAAAGAAATAATATTTTCATGTGTGTATGTATATGTATATTCTTTATATTTCTGTCTACTAACAGGTAAAGGACATAGTTTTCCATTAACTTTTACTGCAATGCTTGGTGGAAAACAGTCCTCTTGTTCACACGATGTTTCTTGCAAACAAAATCGCATCTGTATCTGAAATAGCCATAACACAGATTGTAGGCTCAACAATCAAAAATATAAATTTAACCTCTTAACCTATGATTTACGTTCGAAAATTTTGGGCCGATTTACGTTTGATCCGATCATCTACTGTGGGCTATGCTCGTAATATTTACGTTTGGCCCGATCATCGTACTACGGGCTATGCTCGTAATATTTACGTTTGGCCCGATCACCGTACTACGGCCTATGCCCGTAGTTGTAGGTTAAGGGGTTAACATTAAGAAACAGACTCTCCCTGTAAAATGTACCTGTACTGTGTAATCCATTTTACTTCCTGCACGACAATCTCGTGAACTTGCTACATCTGTTGACTGCTGTGGTGTTAAATGAAACATAAATGTATTCTCTTGAAGTCTCATAGATCCTTGGGGCATTAAACTAGATGGCTTCAGCAATTCAGCCAATAAATCAAAAAAAGGTAGCTTTCTAAGTCTAACATCTGGATGAACAGGATATTGATTTCTAGGTTGTATTTGCAATGGTGATGGTAAAACTTTTGGTGCATATGGATATGGATTATAGGCTGCACTTGTTGTTTGCTGAAATATTAATATGTCATATGAATATTAAAAAACCACTACAAAAAATAATATAGAAGTTTTATATAATTTTATATAGAAATCACATTACATAACTTACTTGTGGTGTTACGTTGGCATACGCTGTTGACTGATAGACTGGATTTGTTCTAGGTGCTTGAGGTAGAGATGCTTGATGTGCAGGTGGTAAATCCTTTCCACTAGAAACTGAAGACTGTGACTGTTGCTGTTGACTGATAGCTTGTCTTTACATTAATTACAAGTAAAAAACAACATTGTTAAATATATCTTATATAATTAATTATATACGTTCTTTATAAACTTATTTTCTTTGTATTATCTATCTGTTTGTTCTATATATTTACCTTGTTGTGTAATAATTTCTGGAATGCATGTTTTGATCTATTTGTGGCTCCCCAGAACTACCTGTTTGACCATACATTTGATGTGCAGCTAATTGATCAGCTCTAAACAAAATTTTGAAACAAAAAATGAGTTTGTGACTTTATCTCAATAATCCACTGACATTTATAATACTTAAAGTATAACAATATGCCATAGTAGATATAAAAAGAAAATCATTTTCAATACTTCACTAAAATAAACAAACAAAATAATTAAAAATTTAATAAATGGTGATAGAGGTAGTTAATGATTTAGTACAATCTACAAGAACAATTGTATTGTCATTAATAAATCTTATACTCACTGTATGGATTTATATAATTCACGTATTTTGAGTTGAATTGGATGGGATCTCAAACGTAACAATTCTAGTGCACGTGCTTGTAATTCGTTCTTTCTACCTGATTTATTTCTACCAGCAAAACCAAGAAGCATCTGAAGTTCAGACACTCGAAAACTCAATATCATATTCTGCAATCATAAAATTATAGCATGCATACATTTTATATAATACACTTATTCTAAACTGTTATTTTGATAAAAGGAAAATATATTTTATAAATAACAATGTATTAATAAGAAACAAATTAACATTTAAATTTATTATCAATTCTATTTATTTCAATTCAATTACATAAGAAACATTTTATCTATTATATTGGCTTGTATAAACATAATTGCAGAAATACGGAATAGAATTTGAAATACCAGGCATAAAGATCATACTTCAAGTTTTCTATTCTAAAGACAATCACACCACACACATAGAGTATTTTCATCCATATCCATATTGAATGAGAAAAATACAATAATGAAACAGAATTTATTTTTGCAATCATAGATAATATTATTCGTCCAACAATATTTACGAATAAAATACATATGATTAATAACAAAGAAACACTGACAACGATTTTAATTTAAAAAAAAAAATATTTAGGTTACCTGTGATTATGAAGATATTGACGTTTTTTATAAGCTTTATTCGGTAAAGGCAACATAATTATAAGCACAATATATCGTAAAAAAAATTCTATTGATTAATCTCAATATTTCACCGAAGAAAAAAGATAATTATAACAATAATGAAGAAAAACGCGCTTAACAAGTACTAAGCGTCTAGTAATATAATTCACTGACGCAAATAAATCGCTGATAACCCGGATATAACCACGACAAATTCACAATGCAGACTTGCCGACTTTTCTCTAAAATTTCACACATAATCTAACTGCACTGCACCACTTTTAATACCTCACTCACCTCTAATTCTTTGGTCTCCGCCATCTTCTTAGACGATTTTTTTTGCGAAGCCGTCTTGCCTATATTATTTCCAACTTTCAATACAAAAATTCTCCTACCCCTTACTTATTCGAGTTGTTTGTATCGCAACTCGCTTCTATATTTTTCTTGCTTTTTAAGTGCAAGTATCGAATAATACTATTTTATGGCGCGAAATTGATTTTTACATTTCAATTTCGAGATCGTTTTAAAAAATCTAACTTTTCTAGGAAAGCTCAATTCCTATAAAAATTTTTAGTTCAACCGCGTGCGATGAAGTAATTATCGATATTTGACACTTCGTTCGTTCGAAATGCGAAAAAGGGTTTTCCAAGATGGCTGCTAACAATTTATTTGGAGTTCAACTTCAATTTGTATAATTCAATAAATGTACAACATTATAATAATTTCTTTGTTAATTAATGTTAGAAAAAGAGCTGTAAAAGAAGTACAGAAGTTTCAAGAAAATCATAGTTTCAAGTTGTCTTCGTCTTCTTAAACTTTTAGTGAGTGTACACGCAGAGGAAAATCTTTGAATATATTTGCTGGTTATATTTCATCTATTAGATTGCAAACGTCCAACCAAACCTTTAGCATTCCTTTGTAGCTGATGTGCAATATAAAATGTTTTAAAAATATATAAAAATTGCAAATGCAAATTACGATAACGAAACACAGTCATATATTAGAAACACAAGTGAACAATACGATATAAAACCTATCAAATTTTCTGGAGTATCTATTTTTATAGTAATTCATCTTTACTATATTCGTGATATATTCTTACTAAATGATCTACAATATGATTGGATTATATCTAGGGGAAACATAAGTTTTATTTTAGATTTTATCTATGTATTTTAAATAATTCCCCTAGTTTATTTTAAATATTATTGGCTATCACTTCATGAAAACGCACCATTATGTAAATATGTGCTGTATAAAAGTCTGTGGTGTGCTGTCTCTAGTGAAAAATATATTTGTATCATAAAATGATGATACGTGCATCTATCTTAAAACATTCATATGCACCAATATTTAGAATGCAATTATAAACACACACACACACACACACACACACACACACACACACACACACACACACACACACACACACACACACACACACACACACACACACACACACACACACACACACACACACACACACACACACACACACACACACACACACACACACACACACACACACACACACACACACACACACACACACACACACACACACACACACACACACACACACACACACACACACACACACACACACACACACACACACACACACACACACACACACACACACACACACACACACACACACACACACACACACACACACACACACACACACACACACACACACACACACACACACACACACACACACACACACACACACACACACACACACACACACACACACACACACACACACACACACACACACACACACACACACACACACACACACACACACACACACACACACACACACACACACACACACACACACACACACACACACACACACAAAGGTATCTTTAATAATTCAAAACATGGCTACCATGTGAAAAATAAATTAGTCGCATTACAGTTTGTAAACAAATTTCTATTTAGTTTTTACGGTAGTTTTGTTTCGTGCTAACAGTCGAAACTTATCAGCGGTAAAAAGAATATATTTCTTCAATGAAATTTATAAGAAGTTGATGTGGCTTTCAGAAGTGAGTCATTCGTGTTTTTTAACAGCTCCAACTACAAATTAATGTCCGTTCAATGTGATCTAACGGATTTCTGGAAAATAAAAATATATCTATACGTTAATATTCTATGTGGTTGTGAGATATAGCTTCCAAATGAACACTAAATAATGGTAACCTTACTTTATGATCTAAGGAAAGTTCTGAGAAATAATAATAAACTATTTTAATAGCCGTGCTATGGAGTAGTTTATTTAAGAACGAAAATGATAACTTGTTATACAATTATAAGTCTCCATATGTAAGTTAAAAATAATAAACAGTTTGTATGTTTTGACTGCACAACTTAACCTATTTTTTAGATATACGTCTACAATTAAACATATCGACAAGCAAACACTTCTATATTCAAAAATTATTGTAAAAATTTATGCTAAAGTGTGTTAATAACGTGTGTGTAAATAATAAAGAAAATTACTCTTTGTTAGTATCATGAATAAAATTGAAATCTGCACTTAAGAATATATTTTTCAGTAAATTTGTTTTTGAAAAAGGTAATAAACTAATTTTGCTATTTGGCTTTATTCATTATGTTGATAATTGTAATATGTTAATAATGATAATTATTTACAAATCATTTAGTTTTACCATTTATAATGCTAATTGAGTATTTATTACTATTACAGATTATACTATGTTGAAATATTGAATAAGTCACTTATGTGATAAAGATTATATTTATAATATTGTTTGTAAATTGACCTCAATGGATTCTATTGAATTTGATGCAATTATCAGACATCCGAGAACCATAATTCATATAGATGTTGATTGTTTCTATGCTCAAATAGAGATGCTTAGGCATCCAGAGCTACAAGGCAAACCATTGGGGGTGCAACAAAAAAGTATAGTAGTGACAAGCAATTATTTAGCACGAGAACATGGAATAAAAAAATGTATGTCAGTACAGGAAGCTTTACAATTGTGTCCAGGACTGGTGTTGGTAAATGGTGAAGATTTAACGAACTATCGTCACTATTCTGCTAAAGTACTGGAGATATTGCATCAGTTTACTCCATTAGTTGAAAGATTGGGTCTTGATGACAATTTTATGGACGTAACTTCTATTGTACAAAAATATATGAATTCTGGAAATAATTCAGAGTTAAATTTAAGTATTAACATGGAAGATGAAAATCCAGTTGGTAAAGTATTTGGTACCTCCGAAGAAGAATGTCCTTGTGGCTGTCATGCTCGATTAATTATAGCTTCCAAAATTGCAGCAGAAATAAGAAAACGAATTTATAAAGACTTGCATATTACATGCAGTGCTGGAATAGCACATAATAAGCTTTTAGCAAAACTGGTGGGATCATTACATAAACCAAATCATCAAACACTAGTATTCCCATGCAGTGCACCTATGTTCTTGTCTACTATAGGATCTGTATCTAAAATACCAGGTGTTGGGCAAAAAACTGCACAATTGTTAATTTCCAACAACATAAAAACAGTGGATGATCTAAGAAAAACACCTTTGGAAACCTTAGAGATGAAAATTGGTATTGATTTAGCACGAAAATTAAAAGATAATGCCGAAGGTATCGACGAGACCGTCGTTAAACCAACAGGAAAGAGACAGAGTATAGGTTTAGAAGATGGTTTCAAGAGTGTTTCTTTGGTAGCTGAAGTAGAATCAAGACTAGGAGCACTTCTGAGAAGATTAACAGAATTAGCTATGGAGGATGGTAGAATTCCCATTGCTATGAGATTAACTGTTAGGAAACATGATTTTAATAAACCAACTTCTGGTAAAAGAGAAACTCGACAATGCGCTTTACCGAAACACCTATTGCCTTCTACAAAATCTGGTGTTTATGATCATGCTAAAATGTTGGCACTAGCAATGAAACTATTTCACCGTACTGTCGATGTTTCTAAACCATTCCATTTAACTCTTTTAGGAGTTGCTTTCACGAAATTCGAAGAGAGATCTTCTGGAAAGAATAGTATTACATCTTTCTTGCGAAAACAGGTCGCTGTTCAGTCTGTTCTAGATATAAGCTCGGAAGAAGGCGTTTCCGACATTAATCTCGGATCACCAATGAGCGTAAATCAAGATAGTAACGACGGTTCTACGATGAGTACCACCTCCTCGCCAGTTTCGAAATCAATAGGTGCTAACAACCAGAGTGCGGACGATGATGTATTGAACGAAATAGAACCTTTACCAAAAAAGACTAGATTGGAAGTATGGTTGAGTGGACGTAGAGAATCTCCGAGCAACGAAATGGCTGATCTTCGACTCAGTCCTTCATCACCAATGCAATTATCTCCGAAAATTGATGCGGCAGTTCTTAAATCTTTACCCATCGATATACAAAGAGAAGTGACCCGTTCCTGGCCGACGACTAGTAAACCAAAACCCAATAATATACTTAAATACTTCATAGCCAATAAGTGACGGAGTTCTATGGCCTAGAAATATAATATAGCCATCGTTATGTACACACTTACACACCTACAATATTGGATGGCAGCACCATGTGATACTATGAATTTAAGTTACTAAATATTTTAAATCAATTTATGATTTTGGGTATTAACTTTCTGTATACACATATTTTCTAGAACATTTACATTAAATGAATGTTGATATAAAGTAACTTTATCGTATAATTTTGATCATTTCATTAAACATCACAAAAAAAGACCAATGTGAATTTGCATAAAACAGCTGTATAAAACATATTTTTATTCATTTCTTTTTGACGAAATCAAGCACAATTGGTACTTAAATTACCTAGAATAGTCGGGCTTTTTTTGAGTTGCTTTGCATTTAAGGTGTATTCACAAAAATGAAAGAAAATGAAAATGTAAATCGACTATCAATGAAAAGTATTTCTATTTAAGTAGAATTCTTTATTATAAATCAAAGATAAAGTATTGTAAAATAAGTTTTATTTTCATCTTTCACACATTCAATATGTATGTTTTATATGATTCTTAATACTATCGCGTATTTCTTAATGTTTAATATTGTTCGGATGAATAAAAATTAAGATTAAGTAAGTTAAATACTTTTGTATTAGAATTATGTTCTATGTAATTCGCCTCTTTTTTTTCTCTCGCTATCTTCACAATTATTTCACTGTGAGTATTTCAACGGCAGGAAAGTATTTTTATTTACACTTAACTAGTGTGCGTGATTGATGCACTTTCAAACGTAATCCGTCTCGTTAAACGAGGTGCTGGCATTTGATTTTGTACGTACTATCTAGCTATTAAATTATAATTGTATGATTTAAAGTTTAAAAATGAAACGAAATAATGTTTATATTTTTATTACTATCGATGTTATTCTATGTGTAACGGGTGTTACAAAAGACATGCCGTACAGAAATACTCAATCGCCCCTAGCGTGCTACTGGTAAGGAGCACCGTTAGAATAAGATAAGCGTAATTTATAATATATAGTTATATTAAAAATATTAGACAATCATAAAGTTTTATCGATTCGGTATGGTACAAGGTGAATAATTATAATATACGTTTAAGCAAACACGGATAAGACAAAACGAAAAAAAGTAAGCCAACGATTCACGCAGTTTCAAATTATATTATATTATACACACGTTTACTTTCACACGATTTACCGAAAAGCATATGTGCATTAAAGCGTGATCGACGGCAAGTGATACTGAAACAGTAGCTTTTGTACACGATCATACTTACATAAGGGAACGGACAATTTATATATATATATATATAGCTCGAATAATAACAGAATAAAAAATTCTAGTCAAAATCTATTCTTTTATCTCTCGATAGGGGTTTTCCGACCATGGGCAAACATAGGAAAATATTTCTAATAGGTGTCGTTTCTATCTTATTTTTGTCTTGTTTCACTTTCACCAATCTTATTTTTGTTTTATATTCAGCTCCTTTAAGAATTACAAATAAAATAGCTTTTAAAGTATATTTTAATTTGTTTACTTTTATGAGATGAAATTTTAGTTCATTAGAAGTTAAGATATATTTTCTTCTTTAACGATATCGCGCCTTCTCCACTATATTCTTTAAAGAGTTAAAAGATGGCAACAAATCAGTTTTGCCATAAAAGAAGTTCAGTTACAACTTGTAGTAACGATTACATATTTGGTTTGCCCGATTCATGTTTCTTTGTCGATCAGTGACTCAAAGAGGATTATCCGAGAGCGTTATTAAACGAGCGCGCAGGACAATTTAAAAAGGCATAAAGCTGCACAATTTATTCCATTATGACATGACTCACCCTGATTATGTTCCATTCAAGACGGTGGCTGGGTGATTGGCCTCATTCAAATTGTATGGTAGTGGTAAAGGTCTAATTCTGTCGTTATACACGAACGCACTGTGTACTCAAATTAAATTCATATTGCTTTTAAATACCGCTATATTACATTGGAGCAATAATGCCCATAGAGGCGCATACGTAAACAGAAACTATTTCATTTCTAATAACTTGAGTGGAGATGTACATATGATTTCAGATGATTTACTTCAATGATTTCAGCTATTAGGTGTGGTTTAAAAAGATGTTGGATGAGTTGTGAAATGGATAAGGAGTAAGGATGTTTTAACGCAATGGAATATGAGAACATGAGAATAAAGAGAACATCAAAGACGTACAACTTGAACTTCCTTTATTTAAATGAATCAGAGGTAATATGAACCGTCGATGTAACGTTGCTTGTACAAAAATCAAACTCAACTTCATTCTGCATTGCCTGCTTTTAATTCTTGAATACTATCAACGCAATTATCTGAGAAGTGCGAGCTATTGCGTGTTATTCTAATTAATCCGAACTTCGACATTGACGAACGGATATGGGTGTCACAACCGCTCATATTCCCCGTGGTATATACGTATAAAATACTCATATATCTCACAACCAGAAGTTAATAATCAGAATTGTACCGCTTCTCCCGTGCATACAAGAAAATAAATAAACATAGAAAAAAAGCTTGGCCATAAGTAACTTTTTTCATCGCGTATATATATATTATATATATATATATATATATATATATATATATAATATATATATACGCGATGAAAAAAGTTACTTATGGCCAAGCTTTTTTTCTATGTTTATTTATTTTCTTGTATGCACGGGAGAAGCGGTACAATTCTGATTATTAACTTCTGGTTGTGAGATATATGAGTATTTTATACGTATATACCACGGGGAATATGAGCGGTTGTGACACCCATATCCGTTCGTCAATGTCGAAGTTCGGATTAATTAGAATAACACGCAATAGCTCGCACTTCTCAGATAATTGCGTTGATAGTATTCAAGAATTAAAAGCAGGCAATGCAGAATGAAGTTGAGTTTGATTTTTGTACAAGCAACGTTACATCGACGGTTCATATTACCTCTGATTCATTTAAATAAAGGAAGTTCAAGTTGTACGTCTTTGATGTTCTCTTTATTCTCATGTTCTCATATTCCATTGCGTTAAAACATCCTTACTCCTTATCCATTTCACAACTCATCCAACATCTTTTTAAACCACACCTAATAGCTGAAATCATTGAAGTAAATCATCTGAAATCATATGTACATCTCCACTCAAGTTATTAGAAATGAAATAGTTTCTGTTTACGTATGCGCCTCTATGGGCATTATTGCTCCAATGTAATATAGCGGTATTTAAAAGCAATATGAATTTAATTTGAGTACACAGTGCGTTCGTGTATAACGACAGAATTAGACCTTTACCACTACCATACAATTTGAATGAGGCCAATCACCCAGCCACCGTCTTGAATGGAACATAATCAGGGTGAGTCATGTCATAATGGAATAAATTGTGCAGCTTTATGCCTTTTTAAATTGTCCTGCGCGCTCGTTTAATAACGCTCTCGGATAATCCTCTTTGAGTCACTGATCGACAAAGAAACATGAATCGGGCAAACCAAATATGTAATCGTTACTACAAGTTGTAACTGAACTTCTTTTATGGCAAAACTGATTTGTTGCCATCTTTTAACTCTTTAAAGAATATAGTGGAGAAGGCGCGATATCGTTAAAGAAGAAAATATATCTTAACTTCTAATGAACTAAAATTTCATCTCATAAAAGTAAACAAATTAAAATATACTTTAAAAGCTATTTTATTTGTAATTCTTAAAGGAGCTGAATATAAAACAAAAATAAGATTGGTGAAAGTGAAACAAGACAAAAATAAGATAGAAACGACACCTATTAGAAATATTTTCCTATGTTTGCCCATGGTCGGAAAACCCCTATCGAGAGATAAAAGAATAGATTTTGACTAGAATTGCTAGTTTATGACTGTTCTCCTCTTAAGTGGTAGCGGTACCCGGTCGGTCACGAGTTTTCTTCGGTTTTATCGCAACATACGTGAGATACATTCGAATAAGCTTTTTTTGTAGGTAATATCTGACCTAAATTTAAATACTGGCCAGGTGTGTCTTTAATTCCCACGGTCATTAAAAACATACTTGGTATAAATACTCCTGAAATGTGTCCAGTATACCAGATTGATAGCTATTCGTTACAACAACAAAAAGCAAGTGTCTTAAAATGTTTTTGTTTCTTTATATCTTCGCCATTATAGCAATACTTGAAGCATCAGGTAATAATTCTATTTAGAAAAATTATCATTTATTCGTAATTGAACTTTCAAAATATAACGGCTTAAAACTGCAAATTAAATTTAAAAACTAGTGAGATGTATTACTATATAAGATTATTAAATATAGGCGCAAGTATAAATGAAGTTCCAAAAATCGTCGGCGGTTCTGTAGCAGAGGACGGACAATATCCGTATCAAGCCTCATTACGTTACAAAAATCGTCATTTTTGCGGAGGATCTGTACTGAACGAGAGATGGGTACTAACAGCTGCTCATTGTTTATCAAGGTAGATATTAATTTAATTTCTTAAATTAGAAAAATCTAGATACCTTTCTCTTTCACTGCTTATACCTACAACCTATCGTTTTAGTTTCAACGATACGTCCATAGCTGTCGTGTTAGGTTCCAATACTTTAGACAAAGGTGGCGACGTATATCAATCTGAAAAAATAATTAGCCATCCAAAATACAGTTCTATATTGATTAGAAATGATATCGGACTGATCAAAGTGGACAAGGACATCGTTTTCGGAGACAAAGTGAAGCCCATCGCGTTACCTAATGAAAACTTCGGCAAAATAGATTATCCCGCTGTATTATCTGGTTGGGGAACTACTAGCGTAAGTACCAACTATTGTGAATTATAATTTTAGCATCTTTCTTTTATCAAAACAATTATATTCGTTAATTTTTTTTTCCTTATATTTGAATGATTGTGAATGCGGTACCAATTACGTACAAATGATTAAAGTATCCCGGACAAACGCCGAACGATCTATATTACATACAGCTAAGTGTAATCGATCAAAAACAATGTTTAAACGCCAGCTTCCGTGTCACCAACGACAATATCTGCACACTTAACAAGAGAGGTGAAGGCGCTTGTCACGTAAGTGCATTACGTCTAGTACTCGAGAAGAGAGCTCTTTCATGTCAAAGGATCCCTCAACTAAAGCAGCACTTTTTTTCTTATTTGTCGCGAAAACCGTGTCGTCGAGAGTGTAACAACGAACATTTAAGCTACTATTAAGTTTCTCTCACCTAGTTCGAAAAGAATTGCTGGAAGTACGCGGAGGAAATTCCAACCTTCTTGTTGTTAGTTAGATCGAATGTTTGTGTCAATAAATGAAGTATTAAGCTCTTACGTTAGTATTATGATTTACAATATGACGCACACTTATCAATATACTTATATATATTTGCAGCATGCAAACATTAGTTTATTCTATTATTATAGTTAAGGATGAGATATTGTTCTCTCTTTTTTTCTAATAAACTATATATATTGAATTATTTATTTTCAAACAGGGTGATTCCGGTGGCCCCTTAGTTGCCGACAATGAACAAATTGGAGTTGTATCCTGGGGAATACCATGTGCAAGAGGTCGACCGGATGTCTTCACCCGTGTCTACAGTTATATTGATTGGATCAAAGATCACATAGAAAATAAGAATTAGATAGGGAGATGATTGAATCTAATTAAATTACAGTTAAATGAATGTTACATGGTGGATTATGTACACCTTTGCACTTTGTGATTTCTCAAAGAATACAACTATGAAATAAATCATTTAATTAATTACAAATGTGATATCTTTCTTTAATGTTACTTATAAGAGGAGAAAATGTTAACGCAAGAAGGGTAGTCCAAGAACTTTTAAAACAAAACCGTAATCTGGGCGAGAGACTAAACAAACGTGCCCCGTCTTAATAAACGAAGACATCGCATTCGTGCGTTAGCAAAGTATCAATTTACCGAGCAGTTGCTCTGTTCCTTTTATTCAATTTCATTTCCAATATACTATTTGCATTTCTCGTATGTTTTTCACATTGCATGATAGCTGTAATTTATGTTAAGTTATATACGCTGCAGTGCGTCCTACGCTTATGCAAATGCACTTTAAGATGACACTAATTTTGCGGCTCGTATGCACAAATTAATGTCACACGTACCTAATTCGTTGAATTAGATAGAACATTTAGGAAACCTATAACATTTATACGGGAAAATACATGATTTGTTATAAGCACAGTTAGAATTAATTATAGACACTCAATACATATCTAATACGCAAATACCGGATAAATCTTATAAGATAAATCTTAAATCTTGATTTGTAATACATACTTTTGTTTCATATTTTATTATTCTATTTCACACTATTACATGTATAATCTTCGTTTAGAAGGTCATGCACTCGCTAAATTTTAAGGGATTAAAATAAAGATCTTGAACTTACGCATATTCAATCCTTGAAAACGAAGTGATAAAGCTTTATTAAAGTTAGAAATTTATTTCCACTAATATAATTTATATAATAAAAATTGTGTGACCGATGATTGTAGAGAGCGGAAGAATAAAAGGTATTCTTGATATTAGAATGCAGTAAGAAATCTTCAATCTCAATTTCGGTCAAGCGTCGAATAACCTGAATTCAATGGCGCATGTCCGAATTGTGTGCATTGAAAATCGTTTCAGGACTAAGAAGGATGCTGCACGTAGTAGTACATCCTTGGAAATTTCAGATATGTATAAGATTCAAAATTATTATGCATTTCATTTATAACCGACATATAAAATGTTTTATTGATATTATTTAATCAAGTAAGAACATAATTAATTGAAGTAATAAAGGTTCTTTGCGATTATAATCTAACAGAGATCACAATACCTTTATAAACCCCTCTGGCTACACCACTGGTAGCACTTATTCAAAGATTGCCAACATCGAGGCCAAGGATGCGCACTGCTACCCCGACCTCGCCAATGTTTACAAAGCACGTGTAATCTATGACAGATTGCCAATACTCGAGATGCATCGGACCTAAAATAAGTATCAAGTTAATGCAATAATTTTTTTAGGAAATTCGATGAAAAACAATGATAATTTAATAGAGTGAAAAAGAAAACCCTGGACCGTGTACTATAACTAGCGTTTATCTGTAATGAAACGTATGACCTAAATCACGGAGCGCACGCGCCATCAAGCAAGGACAGTTTCGAGGGTGTGCTTTCATCCCCTGTTTCTCGTGTCTCGCGAATTTCTCATTGCTTGTGCCTGTCCGTGTGATTTTGTGAGAAAAACAGAGTGCCGTGAAAGACGAGGACCGGTGGCCGTGCCACCTGCTGGAGCTTAACGTACATTGTCTGAAATCGATATCGCCATCCTTGTCTTTCGTCTTAAGAACGTCATTCTAGTAGTTTGCAGAGAAGAAATATGACCGCGATGGAAACTGTACACGGGGGATTGTGTTAAGAGTGGCAAAACCTTCGGTGTTTGTAGTGGGAAAAAATAATGAATGTTGATCTGACATTTTTATTAATTAGCCACGTAAAAGCTCTGTAGCAACTGCAAACCGTTCGGACATAGTTAACAAGATAATTTAATAATCGAATGCTAAAGTATCGAGTGTGTACAAGACAAAAGTTTGTATATACGCAAAACGATTGTCGAAATTGCGATATTCATTGACCAGAAAATTGATGAAGGTTGATACACTGATAAAAATTATTATGTCACGTTGCCTATTCGCTATTAGCCAAAAAGTGATTGGACACTAATCAGTTTCGGCTCGTGACATGTATCGGAGATGCATTTATATCTATATTCATCGATTTCATTGTTTACATTTACAAAGTGTGAGAACGAGTATTAAATAAAATCTGCAAACGCATATGTTTATCGATATCAATGTGCACGTCTTTAACTCCTGACATCGTACAATTCTTTTGAAACTAAAAAGGATATATAAATGTTTTATTATGTCTCGGCACCTTCTATTCGTGATAAAAAATCAGACACTAAACATTTGAATATAGCTTGCTAGGAAATGTAAACAGTCGTACGATATTGAAGATCCTGCCGTACTTGAATCGCTGTATCATGGTGCTTTATTAGTGTGCATATCACGCCTGTGTAAGATCCTTAGGACGCCATAAATAATATATCGCGCCAATACATTGCTTGTATAAAAATAACTTATCTGAGTTTATCAAAGGAAGCTTCATGAGCTGCTGTCCATTCATGTAAGTATGTGACGAACTTTCTTAAGAGACGCGTAAACATCTACAATATAAAATTTTATAGAATTTATGTGTATCTATTATAGTATGTCACTCGCATTTTAGGGGTTGATAAAAATAGTAAAATAAAAATATGGTCCTTTTTGAAACGCTTCGTATCTTCTCTTCGTATTTTATTTTTCTTAGCCTCTTCGTAAAAATTAATAGAACGATACAAATGAACTTGAACGATAAAATTTATCTACCATTTTACCGTTTTAGTTTCTGACTCTCATTTAATAAATTTTATTTTTCAATAAAAGAAGTTTTTAATCAGATGAAGTTATTATATGACTGAAATCGTGAAAATTTAAGAAACAGGTTCTAAATATATTATAAGGTGAATGTAATGCTGCATATAGATGAGAGTTTCTGAAAACATGAAATTCGTGACTATAGGAAACACACAGCTGTCCGAGAGGCCGGCTGTAGCAAGTGCATGTAAGTAAGCAAAGCATACACACATCAGACGCTACACCTTTTAATGGGCGACTGCGCAGTAGACAATTCAGCCATCTATGTGGCCGTGTACCTCGCACAAGCATACCAGGCATTTCTCCGTCTTTGTATCGCCGTTGGTGTTGTGCGTCTCTTTACCCTTCAGCAGACGCGTGTATCTCTCTTTCTTTATCATCGCTTTCTCCTATATATTTCTTCTCGCTCTCGTGGCAAACGCTTGATGGTACGCCAATACTCAGGGACGTATGACGCGTATAACAAACTCTTCGAATTGAATATTATTTCAGAACAAAACAACTTCTATTTTGTGCATCATAAACGCTACGCTTAATCGTTCCAAGTAGATTATAATGTATTAAAAAATTCACCCACGAAAAATGAAGCATTTGTCAGTGTTATCTATTCACTAGTATTCGCGACAAAAATTCTTCGTAAAAATCCATTTATCTATTCAGCTATAAACAGAAAATCGTTGAAAATCGTGATACGATTCGTTTCGTCGAATCGTTTGAAATTATAGTTTTTAAACGTCTCACGAAGATGGTGGTATATCGGCCGAAGGAATTCTCGCAGAAACATAAACGACGAAAGAAAGAAACATGTTGGTAGGCCGTAGCCGCGGGCACCCGCATAGTATACGTATTATTTCGTCCCTGGTAGTGCTGCCGGCTGTGGATGCAGGCGAGAACGTGCGCAGCTGTAAAACGTGAGTCGCTGCGCTCCGCAGCTGATGCGGTTCGTTGTTGTCCGTGTTTGTATTTGTTTGGAAAAATGCGACAGAACACCAATGAATTTCGACAGTATTATTACTGCCATTTGAACGGACTAGGCACGTATGTGATTCGGCAAATATATTGCGAGTGATAGTGACGCACAATAGGGCAAACATTCGAAATGACATCAAATATTTGCAAAAATAAACAATTTCAAAAGTGAAGTAAAAATAAGTTTAAACTTCAACATTGTTGAGTTCAGGATTGTCCTTTGCAGTTGGTTTTTAATATCATTCACAAATTACATTTGTAACAAGTTGTTCAGAATACAAAGATTCATCTTAGTAACAATTCCCATCTTGAGGACAATAGGTATTTCGAAAGAAAGATAGACAAAGAGTTCCCATCGGCATATGCTTTGTACCCTGTGGCTCCTTTGCGAGGAAGAAATTGTGAAAGAAGTGTCATGTTTATTGATAACATTTTGCGCGAACGTGCGTTTTATTCGAAGCAATAGATACTAATTAAAAAAGCAAAGAACAATGCATCGTGTCATTTTGCCTGAGAATATTGTAGATATAAAAAAAAATTACACGTAGAAAGTTCCTTACTTTGATACCACTTGAAAACACGATATTTTGTTGTTGATATGTGCACATATTTTGATATTTAAAGTCGCTAGCATGGTGGAATTAAAAGATGCGATTTACACGAAAGTTATTTGACGAACCTGTTTGTGTTGTTCTGTTCATCTGGTAATAAAAATTTATATAAGAAAAAAGTATATTCTAAGCGTGCACCAACACCCCGCTAAAATGTGTGTAATGTAACGGATGTATATATTTCTTAAAGCAACGACAGGGCTAACTCCATTATGGAGGCACTGCGTTTAGCTATACAGTGAGTTTATTATTAAACAAATGTTTTTACGAATAATTTGTTTTAATACTCTCGATATTACGGAATTTCTTTTATACTTAATCACTTGCTATGGTCAAAAGACCAAAGCAGACTGCGAATGTCAAAATGCACTACTTGATCACGATTGATAAATCGGTAAACTTTTCCGACACCCTATATAATTTTTATTTTTAAGGAATTATAAACAGATAGAAAGTGATACTGTCATAACATTTAAATATGTATCATGTATTGAAATCAATTGTTATATATATATAAAAAGTTGCTTTATACATATGAATTTATTATATTATTTAAATAACTTTTTATATTTAAATACATTGTAGCGATAATATCCCATATTTCTTATTATTTGTAATGCCTGATATATTAATGAATGAATAAATCAGTATTCTTCAATAATATTATTAATCTTCTTTATATTTTTCAAGATCACATATGTATATAAAGAATAATGTTTTATTCAAATATATTTTAAATATTAAAATTGCATCTGAAATTTCTTTATAAGGACAAGCTTTTTTATTTACTATAAAGTAAATAAAAATATTTAATTTTTTGCAGGACACGGCTAGGGGAGAGGATGGTTAGTATGAGCTCTATGCTCGTGGAAACAGTTAGTATAAACTATGAAGATTTTAATGAAAGTTTTTTAACATGCGGCACATGTCTTTGTGTTTATGATGGTGGAGAACATACTCCCAAATTATTACCATGTTCACACACGGTAAATGTCGTATTAATATCATTTATATTTATTAAATAGTAAGCTTTTAATGTAATGAGATAATATATTAGTTTGTTCATACTTACAGGTATGTTTACACTGCTTAACAAGAATTGCTGCGTCTCAGACTCGTGAGACCGGTGCCTTTCGATGTCCTATTTGCAGAGAATTAATAACAATTCCTCGTGGTGGAGTAGCTGCTTTACCACCTAGTTTCCTAGTGAATCAATTACTTGATCTCATGTCCAGACAAAGACGGGAGGTTTGAAACAATATTTTTTATATAACTTCACTTTATATGTTACTGAGCATATTATGTAAAATTTTCATTGATATTGCAGGTTATTCCAAAATGTTCAGTCCACATAAATCAAGAATTGTTATTTTGTGAAACATGTGATACAGTGTTTTGTACAGTATGTACAGGTGGTAATCATGCAGGAACATCTCCAGGATGTACTGAGCATACTATAATACCATTTAGTATTGCAATAAAGAGGATGTCTGAGATCTTACTCTATAAAGCTAATGAATGTATATCCAAGGTAATAATATATCTTTCTCACGAATTGAGATTTATTAACCATAGAATATTATTGTATTTATAAATAGTATTTTGCTTGTTCTAGTTAACACAAGCTCAAGATTCTGTGAATACAGAATTACAACGTTTGGAAGCTTCAACAGAGAGGTGTTTGAGTGCCGTAGATACTGAATTTGCTGAAATTATATCAAAAATTGAAAGGAGACGTTCAGAATTACAAGCAGCTGTTACTGCTGCTGCAAGAGATAAGAAACATGTGTTAGAGGAACAACATGCTCTGATAGAAGCTGAAAAAAATAAAGTGCAACGAGAATGTGAAGGCTTACAATATCAGGTATAGTATCATTATTAAGTCCATGTTGCATACATAATAAAGATGTGTATAATTCTTAAAGGTTGAAGTTCGAAATATTACACAAAGAATTGGTAGTTTATCTGACCAACTCGATGCGGCATCAGCACTTAGTGAACCTAAAGAAAATGCTTTTATAACTTTTGAATTTAATCACAATAATGCTCTTTCTCAATTAGAGGAAGCTCTTAATAACTTGGGAAGAGTACGTTCTAGTACAACATTGCCAGGTACCCTGAGGATTGATAATACAGTAAAGTACCTGCTTCAAACTTGTTATTAATTATTATGCAAGCGTTATTGCTTTATATTTTTAACTCACAGTTCATGAGAAAGAATTATTACTTATAGTAGTAACTTATATTTTATAACAGGCTTATGCAGAGCCCGGTTAAGAGACCCCGCCATAGCGAAACTACAAGCAGCTATAATAGTAGAAACTATTGACTATCATGGACATCCTAGAAATGTTGGAGGAGATCTTATTGCTGCAGAATTAACCTTAGCAGATAGTATCCATTCAGAAAACCAAAGTTCCAATATTGATACTGAAATTATAGATTTAGAAAATGGTACATACGAAGTATTGTTCCGACCCCCATCTGCAAGCCGCTATATCTTAAAGTTGTCAGTTTTCGAGCGACCTATTAAAGATTATCCTTTATTTTTTGATGCAACTGAACATAATGAACCTATTAAAATATATGGAAGACGAGGAATTGGGAAAGACGAATTTCATCAACCAGTTGCAGTTGCTGTTGATGATGATGGCATGATATATATTTTAGACACTGGGAATTCACGTATAAAGGTATATTTAAAGTTATAATGTATTTAGAATGATAAATATCCTAGTTGTATTATAGATAATGTTACATTTTTTAGATACTCAATTGTGATTTGGAGTTTCAAAGGCATATAACTAACGAAGGTCTTGAAGGACGTAGTTGTACAGGAATTGGTATTTCTCAACAAGGTATTGTTGTTGTCAATTGGAGAACGAGAAAAGTAACTGAAATGAGTTCTCTAGGAGACACTATTAAATCTTTTTCCCATAATGCATTTCAAGTTAGTATTGTCTATTTTTAAAGTATTTTATGAAGTCTGCTGCTTGTTTAATTATTCATCATATTATTAATTTTGTTCTGTAGGAACCCATTGATGTTGCAGTAGATAGAAGTTATGGTCATATACTTGTTGCAGATAATGGTCAAAGTTGTGTTTTTGTATTTGATTCTGATGGCAAAATTCTCTTTCAGGTTAGATAGTATTTAGTTCTTTAAATTCGTTATTACTTTTAATGTTTCTCTGTGTTTATTATACTCAATATTATATTATTTTTTTAAATATTATTTAACAGGTTGGAAAAAGAAGTACATTCAAATTGATTACTTCTGTAACTGTTGGACCTAGCGGTGAAATTGTAGTTGCTGATAGTCGTATACAAGTATTTTCCGCTAAAGGAGACTTTTCTGAGGAAATTTATTCAGAAGGCAAAGGTAAATTATAATTCTATGTCATTCTTATGAATTAACTGTCATATTTGACACCTATTGCGTATTACAGGAAGAGGTACTTATGGAGGCCTTGCTGTTGATGCAGAAGGCAGAATACTTGGAACTCGCACCGATAAAGGTCGCAGTATAATTCAAGTTTTAAAGTTAGGAGGAGGTAATATTTTAACTGAAATTGATTCGCATAGCTCAAAACTACGACGTCCTTCAGGTATTGCGGTACTACCTGACAATCACTTAGTAGTTGTAGACTTGGGAAATGATTGTATAAAGAAATATAGATACTGGTAAAAACAGTTGAGTTTCAAGTATCAAATTTGTTGTATGTCCAACAAAACTAATTCATCCATCGCAGACATATACCAAATATATATTTAATATAGCTTAAATTATTTGCTTCTCTAAGAGACTTTTTTTTAAATAATTTTATGTATCAGTTTAATGTTTACATTTCTTAAGTTTTTCATCTACTGTTTTTTAAAGTTACAGAGTTGGATTAATCAAAATAATTTCTTTGATATAAAATATATATATATATTTATATATAATATTATATATATAATATTATATATTTATATATATATGTATATATAGGTGATATTTAATAATATAAGTGTTACATATCAATCTATGTGTGTAATACTCGTATAAAATAATATTAATTTATTTCTATTTTAGATTTTACAACGGATGTTGTTTTCCTAGAATAAAACAGACTTGATTAGCATAATGCAATTTATAGTGTTTTGTGTTATGTTTACTAATTTAATTTTTTAAACTAAAAAGTAATAGATGTTATTCTTTTTTTTTTTTTTAGTTTTTGATGTTTACCTTAATTGATGTTGAGATATATTGTAATACATATTTTACACTGCCATAGTCTAAATTCATAACAGTTATCATTAGAGTCCACTTATTTCATAGAAATGTATGTGTATAAATGTAATAGTAGGTTATTGAAATTAATATTTAAAGAATTTTATTTACGGCAAAATAATTTAAACATTAAACGAAAGAATTCTGCTTATTCACAAGACTTGAGATATTGTAGAAATTTTTGAATAGACATCTTTTATCTCCTATATTTGATTCTGTTTAAAAAAGCAGATCATTTATATTTATTAATGCCATTAGTGTTGAATGAAAAATAACAAAAACTAATAATTTCACAACTAGTGAAAAATGACTTTGTAATTATTTTTAACAAGTAACAAAGACGACGCTTATCATAAGATCAAAGTGTGTAATAAAATTAATATCCAATATTTTCTTCGATAAAAATTCGAAAAATATTTTTATATAATTTACCAAAGGAACTTTCCGGTTAATTTCTTTTTTTTTTTTATTTATAAATGATATTTCTTTCATTTCCACTGAATCCGTCTTACATTCTATATGTCTTTTTTTATGGCATTCTAGTTTGTTGTAATAAGAGTAAAATCTTATTTTGTGAATATTAAATTAATGAAAAGTATTTACATGTTATTCTTTTATACTTAAAAATATGTAAGTGCTTTGTATGAAAATGTCTTAAAGACAATATCATTATGAAAAATTATTTTGAACCAGTTACATTTAGTATGTTTAACACAGTATTTAACTCATTTATTTTATACAGATTTATTAATTATTCTCAATGAACATTACAATCCATTTAGTTTTTATTATCATTCAAAGCATTTCCTACTCTGATTTACATACTCATTAAAACTTTTAATTTAGAAATACATGGTTTTTTTATGAATCCATATAAGAAATAATTAGTGTATTATAAGTAGATAAGAAAATAAAAAGAAATTAAGATGCATGCCAATATTTTTCCAGTATTATTAAAAATTGAAACAATATATTTTATTTGTATAAACTTATCTTAAATTTTGTATAAAATATAAAATTATGAATATATATAATTTATTTATATATATGTAAATTATTGCTATTGCTATTATTACTAGCAATAATTTACACATTTATAAATGATATCACTTTCATGATATTATACTTGCTACAAATAATTGGTGTATCTATTTTTTTTATATCACAACAATTTTTTATTCACAAAAATATTTGAACAGTACTTAAAATTTTGAACTTTGAATAAATTTGTAATAAAAGTGATTAAAGTGATAGAAAAATGCTAAAGAAAAGATTTAGCTAAAAGTTCATGAACTCTTATTTGCTTAAAATCTTTAAAGCTTAAAATTTAACCTTATTTTAGCTCATATCGTATTTATTATGTTTAATATTTTGAGGTCCTTTTCGTCACTATTAATAATTAAAGAAAGACGTAATAACATGTATAGACTAAGATGGACTGATGTATGAATTAAAACACGTCAGCGTTGTGTTCAGTTACTAAGAAACAAACTAGTATAATTAATATAATAATAATATTGTTATAACAGATAAATATTTGTATTATGTATAACATTTCACTATTTCATGTTTGTCAATTTGATCATTATACTTGTATTTTTCACATCATTTTGTAATTCTGTTTTCCTTAATAATGCTTTAAGATTCTGTTAAAGTACATAATTTCCAACAATTGGTGCATACATAAAATGTACAAAATATTTACTCTTTTATTAGTATTTAAATATATTTTTTGTTTTGCAATTAGCATTAGCATACTATCATAATACAAGATTTCTTTGTGAATTATAAGATATTATAATTTGACATAATTATTTTTGGAATTGATGTACAGCATTCCTAAAACTATTTTGCAGAGTGATTCAGCATTATTTACAAAAATTGTATATATATGCATACATATTTTATATGTATGAATATTTATACATATAGAAGGGTCTAATTAATTATAAGTACATTATGTCATTAGCCTTTAGCGAAAAGCATGGCAGTGCCTTTATTAAACAAATTTCCATGCAAATACATGTTACAACATAAAATTTTAATTTTAATACTTTTATGCTGACAACATATGACAAGTGACTTAAAGCTTAATAGTTTAAGTTGGATCATAGATTCATATGCTTATACATATATTTAAATCATAATTTTATCGTCTTTCTAAGTTAAATATCAAAATAATAATTTTATAGTTCTTATTGTGTTTTAAGTGCAAGACATAAATAATATATACAAGTTAATGCCTGCACATACATATACACATTTGCTTTACCTTTATTTTCACATTTACAGATGCAACACATGAAAGAAGCCTTATGCCAGGTCAAAATATGTTTAAAATATTTACTTTTTATTTTCGCATTTAATAATATACTAAAAGTTTTGACTGATGTTTAATAGTTTTGGAATCTTGGATATTATTTAATCTAGTCATATGTTATCAATAGTAACACTTAAAAAAACAATGTAATGAAACTGCATAGTATAATGTATAATATATTGTAAATAAATATACGAACTTAATTCATAAGAAATATAATTTTTTAAATTCAACTGTTAAAAATGAAGAATAATTTTAACGCACCAATATTCTCTATCTCATTAATTTTTGTAAAAAATTGTATAGAAGATACGGAATCATTCAACAGGAGAAGTATCTCGTTTTCCCTCGAAAATTTTGTACAAAAGACATTATAAAAGTAACTTAAATAAGATTTCTATAGCCAGAGAGATCATAAAAATTTGGTATTATCAATAACATTGAAATCAAGCTCGCGCGTAAATATCGGTTCGATAGTAACGAATTGAAACGATTATATCTCGAGATTTCTCCTAGCGAGAGTATCGAATGAATGTAGCGTGCACGCGCCGTAGCTGAAAAACGTAAGCTTGGATACTACGCCTGTGCTAGTACGTGCTCCGTACACGAAAGTTATTCACACACGCTATTCATCGGCTTGTGCTCCTCCATTACGTACATAACGTGAAACGTAAAACGCTACATACTAGTCTGTACGTGTGTCGTGCAGGTGTATATAAGCAGAGTTGCGCACGTCGTACATGAACACCAAAACATCATTTTGATTCAGAGGTGATTTCTTGGTAAAATAGACGAATATAAAACGATTAGTGTCTATTTCTTGGTGGATTGGTAGGGTAATCGACGTTAGTTAAAAGACAAGTGATTCGTGGATATCAAGAACAACCGGTAAATAAGATTTTGGACGAGAGATCAAAGCAATCGAGGAAAGGGCGAATTTGAGTGCCACTGCACAAGCGCGAATAAGACAGAGAGACTCAAAGAAGGTTAGAGTGAGATAACGATAGGACGCTAGGTACGGTGCTACGGTGGTAGTGAATGGAACGCGGCCCCCACGGGTGAGCGTAGTACGACGCTCCACGGGCTAGCGTTGCACCAATGACCAGCCGGGACGGGCGATCACGTGACGTGCGTGCCGAGGCAGCAGCAGAACATTGCAAATGACAAGACGCGTAGGGCATTGTCGTCGCGCCGCCGCTACCATCGCTCCTGTCGTAGTTGCTAGTGAATTCGTCGCGCCATTGTCGTCGTTACTGCTACTATCGTTGATGAGATCTCGCCCGCCACCGATTAGCCGAAGATTGTAAAACGATTCTGAAAATCTGTCTTCGGTACTGTCGGCACTACCGCTGCTGTCGCCGCGTGTGCGCGACAAAGTCGCGGGTGCTCGGAGGCCTCGTGCCCTGAACGGTGCCCGCGGCGCCCCGTCCTTAGCAGAACATATTCGAAATACAGTGTACCATCAGATACACCAGCATCGACGGCCTGAGTGCCAGCTGCCTATATGACAAAATGTCGGGATCACAGCGAATGCGAAAGTCCTCGCCATGCTCGACATCGAAGCAAGGCCCAATGCGCGCGACTCTACCCGTAAGCTCGCTGCTACGACAAGGCCGGCAAGGCAGCAGTCTCAGGAAGAGCAACAGCAACAGTCCCACTGTATCGCCAACAAACGCGAGTGCGTGGCGGGCCCGCATCTCGCCGGAGACTTCTTCCTCGGGACAACGAAGCCCCGGTTCCCTCTCTTACAAAGGTATTTACGTTCACTGCTCCACATCCTCACGTACTTACTATACACTGTTATCTCTCGCTACACTTTGTTGTGTCTGTCATTTTATGTTTTTCATATCCTCCCAACTATATATTCCCCCTCAATTAAACCAATACTTTTTATTTCTTGTTTCCTTTTATTTCAATGTTACAACACATAAATGTTTATTGTGTCATTGTACCATGCATCAATTTTTCATCGATCGTCTATTTGCAAGTGTATTGTTCTGTTTTTCTTAATTGCAACAATTTTTAATGTTATTTTTACGAGATTCGGTACAATTTGTTCGTGTCAGGTACGTGTCATACGTACAATCGGTTGTAAATATTGTAAT